CCATCCAGGCGTTCGTGCAACCATCAAGCTTATAGCAGCACCGTTTTGCTGGCCTGGAATGAATAAAGACGTGAGAGAGTGGGCACGCTCCTGTGTAAGCTGCCGAAAATCTAAGGTCATCAGACACAATAAATGTCCCTTAGGCTCATTTAAAACTCCCAATGCTCGTTTCGAACATGTTCATCTGGATTTGGTAGGATCTTTACCAGATTCAAATGGATACTCTTACCTCTTAACCTGCGTAGACCGTTTCACTCGATGGCCAGAAGCAGTACCTATCAAGGATATCACTGCTGAAACAGTGGCTCGCATCTTCGTCGAACGATGGGTAGCAAACTTCGGTTACCCTACAACCACCACTGCATAACGCGGACGTCAGTTTGAATCTGAACTTTTCCATCGTCTGACCACACTTCTAGGAATCACTCGTTTCCGAACGACTGCCTACCACCCACAAACAAACGGGTTGGTAGAAGGTTTTCACCGACAACTAAAAGCTTCACTATCAACTGCAAACGTTTTACAGTGGACTGACGCTCTTCCACTCGTCTTACTAGGTATTCGCAATGCATTGAAAGCTGACATTGGATACACTGCGACTCAACGCGTTTATGGAACGACACTTCGACTTCCAGGAGAATTCGTGGACCCTTCATCCTCTTCAATAAACATCGATCTAACCTCCTACACGAATAGGCTTACAAACGCAATGCGTTCAGTTAAACCTGTTTCCACTCGACCGCAATCAACTGATGTTTTCGTTCAACCTGACTTACGATATAGTACACACGTTTTCGTTCGTCGAGACTCGCATCGACGACCATGCGAACCAGCATACGAAAGACCTTTCAAAGTTCTTCAACGTGAATCTAAGTACTATATAGTCGATAAGAACGGAACAAACGATAGCGTCAGCACCGATCGCTTAAAAGCAGCGTATTTAGAAGGAAATCCTATCTACGTGGATTTTCCTTCGGTACAATTGAACGACACGACTCCTACGCTTATAATTCCTCAACCGACAGGCAACACACCCGATGATACTTCAATAGTATCAGAAAATAAACTTAAGACGACGCGTTCCGGAAGAAGAGTGAGATTTCCAGAACATTTAAACGACTACTGCACGTAAGGCACTACTTGACAATTTTAATATGCTTATATATTTATATTTATATTAAAAAAAAACAAGAAACATAATAATTTTTTTAACGCTATTACGTGTGCTTGAGTTTATTTTCCATTTTTTTCGCCGACATTGTGTTTTTACGCACATACGAGTGTATTTCGACATGCACTTACACTTTCTTTTTCCTTTCCAGGACGGCTGGAAAAGAACGATGCAGTTTACGAGGAGCCAAAACTTTCATTGTACTTTTTCTTTTTTTACTAAACTGTACTTCCTGGTCCCTTAGAGTAAGGAAAGACGACCAGACGCTGCTAAACCTAGAAAGCTATCAGAGGAGTGTTTACCAACGACAAAACTCGTTGGGTTTAAACTTCTGGCTGGCCACGCCATAGGGTCATCACTACCACACTAGGGGGGAGTGATCTGTAGCGGTAAATAAATCCCCAAGGAATGAACTGATATTAGCTTTTATGACCACATTTATTTAACGTGCATGCTGTGAAACAATAAATGTAATTTATAGATCATGCCTGTAAAAATGGCGTGTACCTGCCATTGCAGAAATATATTATATTGTACCTAAGAAGTGATAGACATAGATGTAGGGAAAGAGGGGGCGTCCTTTTATACATGGTCAGTAATATAAATATCCGCTCTTATATTTGAGAATACCATGAGAGTGGAGGGAGGCGAAATCCGACTCACATGTCCGCGCCATGCATCTTGGATAATGGGTCGAATGACTCATGAACTAACGTGAGCGGTAACCCGGGAGGTGGAGATCAAGCCAATCACTCATTCTTACCGATACCCACAAATCGATTACGAAACCCACGGAGAAACACAGCACAATTACATTTGGATTGGAAAACGACAACAAATTTTCAAAAGTGGTGGGTGTAACACACGGAGCTGCTCACCATAGGGCAAACTCCGATGGATTGCAAAAACAACTATTCCAGCCTCGGTAGTTGCGCCGTGCTTCGATGTGGCCTGTTTCTCTCCAGAAGGTTCTAACAGGTTTCACCAACTTGTTTGGCGGGAAGGGGGGCATGATAGTGAAACTTGTGGTATTCAGCCTCAACCACACAATCCTCAATGCTGAACACGAGACATTTGAGATAATAGATGTTCAACATTTAACGCGGAGAAAAACCCAACGATGGATAAGGCGGGAACAGAGAACTGAGTTAATTCCAACTGATAGGATGGCATGGCTCAGCCTCGCAGGCGTGGTCGCTCTGTACAACATACTTAAATACGACATATTAAACATATTGTTCTATCTCCAGCCTGAATGTGTTTTCCATCATATATTGGTAATTGTTACGGTGCGATGAGTCAGTGTAGATAATGATGTTATTTCCACGTAATATCTTATAAAGTAGACAGTTACGGTAGACAGTTATTGACCAGCAGACATTGATGGTGAGGGCGATAACTTCAATCCACCCGTGTTTGTGGGGGTAGAACATTTTGTATGTACCAGGCTCTTTATGATTGAGGATAAGTCAATCAGTATGTGATATAGATTGTTTTCCTACGCTCACCACTCAGACTCACGTTTCCGATATTATGCTGGATTAGCTATTCTACTAAGACAATCTATAACATGCTAACTCGGACTTTTACACTAGGATTGTGTGGCTGGCATCGGACAAACAAAAAATGGAAAAAAATAGACAAAAAAAGATATAGTCATTAGTATTCTTAACACTTCACCCTCTATATGCACACTCCCTTCTAATAAACCGCCTTCCTTGTACCAACCTTGACTTCCTTTCCTTCATGTGAGCTTACTCCAACTTGTTAAACATCACAACTCATTGTTCTTTATTACTACATTCTCTAATATGGAGCCTCTGACTTCATTTCACTCTAACAAGAGATAATATGAATCTATTCTAATTTATTATATCTCTGTCCGTTCTACTACACAATGTTAAGCAACGTTTGGCGTTCATATCCAAGTTCCTTGCTGCTCTTCCGTTTCTCTTTTTTTCTTCAGAACTTTGCTCTGAGGGCACAGTTATGAAACTTCCGACGTCTGGAACAAACTTGATGTACGCGTCTCCTCAAGGTCACGGTTTGCAGCAAGCGCCCTACGAGTATACGTTATAACAACTGTAAACTTAATAAGTTGAGAAGCATTTCGTGAACCAAGAAATGTTGTAATTTATAGATCATGCCTGTAAAGATGGCGTGTACCTGCACATGCAGAAATATATTATTATTATTATTATTATTAAAATGTACAATTTAGGATTGGGTCTATTATTAGAGCAGTACTAATATCATAGTCGACCTAGTTCTACATTGGTAAGCCCGACTAAGGAAACGCAACTCATTATTGTAAATCCGCACATCACTTGAACTTTCTCGATCGATTTTTATTTATGTAAACCCATTATTTTAAGTCCTTTGATTAATGCTCAAATGTATGATCGTGCTGTTAAATTGATTAGTACTTATAGCATAATGACTCAATCGATACTAATTGCTGGTCGTCTATATTAATTAGCTTTGATGGTTCATTAACAAGCTTTAGTAGCATTAACATGCTTCAGCGAAACAAACTTGTTGAAATATCAAGCTCTAGCAAACATGACTTGGAAATAACCTAAATATACATTGACTAGCGACGTAAGCAAGGACTAAATATTTAGTTAGATCTAATTCTTCGCCAACAAAGAGTATGGGTAGACTCAAATTTATCTAGCCGGGAAAATGTGCTTAGTGGGGTGCTCCAGGGCAGTCTTGGGGCCAGTGTTATTCCTCTTGTATGTAAGTGACCTTCCTCGTCTAATATAATCATCGGTCTTGCTATATGCTGACGATGTCAAGATATGGAGAGCAATACGATGTAAGGGTGATAGCTTAGAACTCCAAAATGACCTGGATAAATCATCTGAATGGTCTCAAACTTGACAGTTGGCGAGAAATACTTCCAAGTGTGTTGCGATGGATATCGGTCATCAAGGTACAGATACATACATGATGAATAACACTGAGCTACCTGTTGTCCAGACACACAATGACTCAGGAGTCATCGTTAGCCAAGACCTAAAGACTACTGCATGCTGCCGTGCAATAGCCGCCAAAAGGCTTTAGAACCTTATGGCCAGTACGTAGGGCTTTTAGTCATGTCAACGTTAAAACGTTTTTGACTTTGTATACAGTGTTCGTACGTCCTAAACTTGAGTACTGCATACAAGCGGATAGCCCCTGCCTAAAAAAAGATAGCGAGCCCCTGGAAAAGGTTCAGAGAACAGAAGCTAAGCTGATTGCCGGAATAGCGAAGCTTCCGTATGACGCTCGATTGGCCAAGCTAAACCTATTCCCGTTGTCATATCGAAGAACTAGAGGCGACTTGATTACAATTTTAAAATGGCTTTGTGACAAATTTGCACATAATATGCCCTCATTTTTCTTGTATTCCGAAACAGGGAATATACGAGGACACTCCAAATTATTCACAGACTCGGGATAAATCAATTGTCAGTTGACTATCGACTTTCCCATCGAATCATCAGCGAGTGGAATTCGTTACCTCAGTACGTGGTTGAGGCTTCAACCGTCGACTCTTTCAAAAGAAAGTTGGATCAACTGAGAGACCACCATTGCCGGGACTAACACAGGCCATCAAGCCTCCTGTCCTTTCCAAACTGAAACTGATGACATAATATCATTAAAGATTCGTCGTATATCATGCGTCATCACGATGGCATCGTTTTCTTTACTTGAAGGATGAACGCTATCAGACAGAGTGTAGTTGAACTTGATTCAAATCTAAAAATGTCTTGATTTGACCGCTTTTGCAAAACCTTACAAATTGTCGAGGTGACGCACGAATCGTTTTACGACAGCTTGACCTTCAAGTGCACAGCAACCTACATCAGTGGACGATATCCTTGAAGCGCGTTACCTTTTATCTTGTGTTGGGGACAAATGAAGCTGACTGATTCTACTATCAGAACTTTTAAACCTGTGAAATATTTTAAGGAGAATTCAGACCGTATCAATTCCCTCAGTTATTCCAGTAATGGTGAGACGCTTATTTCTAGCAGTGATGATGATCAGATGGTGACTTACGATTGTTCTAGCGGAACGTAATTATCACGTTTATCATGTCCTCATATTCGACCATAGACCTAAACGTACGCTTAACAGCAAAAAATATGGAGTAAACTTGATACAATTCACTCACAGTCCGACGACTGCAATTCACGCTTCAACAAAGATTGATGGTAATTACTTTTTGATACTAACATTCTCAAGATACAATACGTTACCTTTCTTTGCATGATAACAAGTACATCAGGTACTTCCAGAGTCACACTAAAAGGTAAGCTAATAGAATTTACGTTCGTATACACAGGGTCGTTTCGTTGTGTATGTCACCTATTGATGACACGTTCCTGTCTGGTTCAATGGATAGTACTATTCGTTTGTGGGATTTGAGGTCACCTAACTGCCATGTATGTTTTGCCTCGTATTAAGGTTTATTATCTGTCGTTTTGTTGTTATTCTTCATCCATATCATGCCTAATGTCCAAGCAACAGAGCTCCATAGGTTCTGCTTTTAGAATGATTTCGAGGCTTTCAGTTACAGTTTCCAACCTGCAGGTTTTTCCGTGATATCTGTCGAAAAATGAGGGGAATTACTGCGTTAAAATGAAACCTTTTGGACTATTTCACCGAAATTGCGCAAACTTTTTCGGTTTCATAAATAAATGCAGACGAATTTCCTCAAAGTGTAATAAGATTCTGGGGTTTCGGTGCCATTTCCCCAAAATTGGGAGATTGAGTGGTTTCACATCTTGGTTAGAAAAATATTGAATTAATATAGGTCGATAGACCTATCCTTATTACTGAAGACTAGATTACCCTGAGGGCCCCTAAATGCGCTGTTGCGGCCGAGGGTAGGAGAGTCAGCTCACCCTCTCGAAATGCTTTCACACGGCTAAGCATATACAGTCACTGTTAGGGAAGTCCTACTCACTGCCTTCTTGTGGCGGTAGGTGTTGTTTACGAAATTGAGAGGACGAAAAGCGAATGTCCGGCGTTTTAACCTGGTTGGTAGACACAGAGTCCACCTAGGGAAGTTGAAAAACTGATTTCAAACCATGGGCTCCAGTATTCTGAGCGAGCAAGTGGCATATGAAGCAATCGTGGTGAGACTATAATTTATGAACGACCTTTGATCGACGCTAAAGTGACCTTGAGAGTGTCTACTTACTATGGCTAAATGAAGGTTATAAAGCAGTTGGAAGACTAAGGATTATGATTTACAGTTGATGGTTAGGAATTAGATTTAAGGTTTTCATCACGAACTGACGTCAGTTATAGTGCCAGGACTATTTGGCCAAATGGGTGAATGAATTTCGCGCAGAAATTCAAGACCTGTTATCGTGAATCTGATTGGTTCGTCCATAAGTTATAGTCTCGCCGCAATCGTTGGTCACCGGCTACGATGAGACTGCGTCTCCACTGTCTTGTGGATCAGACCTGTTGGTTGAAGGCTTCGGGGTTGGCCCCCTAAGAAAACCACCTGCTTCAGTTTGGGCACCCGGGCGGTATCATATCCCACACGCAAATAAAGCGACTTGTGTGGCGCATATGTATTCGGTGCCCCTTTGCTTCAATATTTATACGTTCAAATAAATAAATGTTCGGGGGTCAGTTAGTTGATGGACCAAAAAACTGGTTACTGATTCCTTCCTCACTTTAAAGCTTTGTGACTTCGCAAACAATATTTATTTGGTGATTGTTTCATGCTACCGCGCATATGTGTACTAGTTTCTACCCAACATTTGTCGAATTCCTCGAAACATCTTTTACACAGGCAGCTATCCAAAAAGCTTTTATGTGATATTTTGGTTCATCAAAAAGGTAAATTATGGGTTTGAAAAGCATCTCAATAGTTAAAGCTTGCAGCTGTTAAAACGTGTGTCGCAGATTCGAGCCTCTAGGCAGCTACTCTGATTTGGACAGCTGTGTAGACTCGCCATTACAATATGGCTCAAGGCCGATTATGTGAACATCTACATAGTAACTAACACTTAAGAGAATACATTTTGTTCAGATAGTCTATATCGGATACGAAAATTTAAATTCATGGGGCTTTTGTGGGTTTGTTGATGGATCTTATAGCATTCATCAAATGTTAACAAGTTTGTAGTTTGCCTTTAGCAATAGAAACTCAAAGAGAAATAACTGATAAACATCTGAAAATAATTTATTTATTGTTTATAGACACTAGTTAAACATCAAAGTGCAAGACGTCAAATGAATTACTATGTAGTTTCGTACAACTAATCTACTGAGGTCATCATCAGTTGCACTGTCTATTTATACGTGATTAAAAAACGGAGCAGTTAATCTTTTAGAATCACTTGCTTTATGTACGCTGTAACTGTATGGATGGAAGCATTTGAAGAGAGGCTAATAAAATCTTGTATAGCTGCGATATTTTGTTAAAAAGCAGTATTCGGGCTTGAATTAGTGAATTACCAACATCTCATCAGTGCATAAGTTTTGTTAATGATTTGAGGCTAGTATATGAGTACATGGATATTTTCTAAAATCCTCCATAATCTTATTTTGCTTTTTTTAACGGCTTTTCCCCAAGGGTGTAATGCATGTTTCTGGTCGACCAACAGCGGCTTTTGATCCAGAAGGATTAATATTTGCAGCGGGGATTAATTCCGAATCTGTTAAGCTCTATGACCTACGATCATTCGATAAGGGACCGTTTGCTACGTTCAAATTGGGCATGGAAACAAGTGGATGCATTTGGACCGGTTTACAATTTTCCTCTGATGGAAAGGCTCTTTTAATAACGACCAACGGAACTCATATTCGTCTAGTTGACGCATTTAAGGGATCTCATCTGCATACATTAGCCGTAAGATTAATTCCAATACACTTTTATGAACGAATTTTTTGGAGGGGTATATTTTGAAACATTGCATACCTTTTCACTGTCAACAACATGGTTAAGCAAAAATAAATCCACTTCTTTGTAGAAATCTGGGCTAAAGATACGTGATCATATTCACCAGAATATCTCATCATTTTAAGTTATAAGTATTAAATAATCAAAAAGTTAATGTCCGTAGAAACATTTCTCATATAATCTACAGCTAAGTGTAGATTTAAGTTTTATAGTTGAACTGTTTCGGTTAGTATATTTCATTGAAAACAAGTTATCTTGCTAGTCTCATCATCTCTGAAGTGTTGGTGCTTGGTGAAATCTTAACTCATTCAGCATGCTCGCTTGGCTTCAACAAAATTGCTTCGATCGTGCTGTAGATGAGATATCTGTCTGTCAACAGAAGGATGGGTTTACTGCGCGTCACTTCATTTTTTAGACTAAAACGTGTCCTTTAAAAATAGAGGTTGTGGCACTATATAGCGTTAGATAAGAGGTGTTAGCAAATTACTCAGCAGGTTGTCATCTAAGTGTTATGTATCAATTGTTAGATCTACCCAGTTTGCATGAGTCTCGTTTCTTATTAGAAAAACATGTCAAATCATGTGTAATCAGAAATTACTGTATCCACTCATAGAACAACACATTCATAGGTTACTTGTGTTTGATCATAGATGTTTCCGAAGCATCTCTCTCGTAAGTTGAGGCTTTCGAGTGAAAAAGGCTAAGATTAGATAGGGTAATAGGTAAACATGACAATTCGGTTGATAAGGTTGTGAGTCTTTCTCAACTGAGGTGGTTGGTACATGCATTAGGTGTACCCGACCCCTGGTAATTCGATGCACGATGATCGCTAGTGTATTAGTGGGTTGGAAGAAAACTCCAACCGGTTAAGCCAAGACGTGGGGTCGTAATGAACGAGAACTCAGGTGTGGAAGACTAATTCGTTGTTGAGTGCAAATTTGCAGGGTGCTTACATAAAATATGAAAACCACACATTAAATACATAATTTGCACATCTTCCATCAGTTTTCCTTTGCATGCTTCATGATTCTTTAAATTCTTTTGCTATTACAATTACTTTCTGTTCTCTTCAATTGAATCTTCTACTGGCATGCTAAATACTGCTTATGTCAACATAATTAGCATACGCCACAGTATTAGTTCTTTAAGTAATTGACTTTTGGACTGAACCTTATTTACAGGTCGCGGTCATGAAATCATCGTAACCAGTAGCCTAAGACGTTGGGTGATACGGTTCAGAATCTGTTGGAATGACGCATGCATTCACTCTTAGGCTTCCTTTTAGATTCTGAGTCTCTAAATCATCTTGTATTTTTTATACGAATTCTTTCTTAAATAATATTGTTCATGCCTAATTTTTTTGCTACCAAGAACACTGCTAGTACTTTTACTACTGGGATTTGTCTTGATAATTTTATCTGCCTATACGAACATGGTTTCGTAATTTGGACTGATGCATATATGCCAGTTGTTACGTCGCTTATTACTGCAACTGGTTAACATCAAGTAATAAGCAAAATAAATAAATAAGTGAACTTTAGACTTTTAACTGTATATAAACTGGACTCAATCCAAACAGTCCGCATTATCTTAGCCGGTCATATTTTACCTGTAATATCGGGTTTTGACCAGTTTATCTATGAAATTTTGTGAATTGTAAGCCGTGTTTTAATAGTACTGGCTACGATGTCATAACCGAAAGTAATGTTTATACTGTACAACATTATGCAACCGTTTACGGGTCCTTACAGTTTTAGCTAAAACATAAAACCATGGCCTCGTAAGGTGACCCTGAGGAATCTTCTAACGTGGTGATAAGTAATTTACTTATTACTATGGTTTACTGTTTAGGTCATAAGGTTTAACCATGTCAATCATAGAATATTATTGATTATTGGAGGTTAGATCTTTTCGGCATAATCTTGTAGGAATTAGCTTAAGTATTATCTTCCCAAAGCTATTATTAATTCAACACCTTACTAGACCTTAGTTAATAAGTTCTGCGCAACTTAGTAATCAAGTGTAAGTTCTTGCATTTGATCTTGAACTACACGCTTAGTGCAAGGGATATTTACATCACTTTGGTGCCAGAAGGGGAGTAGTTAGGGGAACCTGATGACTAAAAGTCGGGTGCTATAACCTCCCAGTCACCTTTCAATCATTTCCATTTTCATTGAAGGCTCAAAATTATTGACGTGAAGGAAGGAAATTAAAGTTATGGCATTGTCAGTGGTGAAAATACGAAGGCAAATCTACGAGGGAGAATAAAAAGCTGAGGAAGCTTATGTTATACTAGGCTGATTTTAAACTACATTAGCTAAGGTCCCCAAATAATCTTTCATACATCAACCTGGATACTTACGTCTTTCTACATGGCTCGAACTAAGTCAGGAGCTTCGTGCTTATATGTAATATTCGGCTGCACATACACTTACTCCATACGTTCGTGCACCAGCAGTCCAAAAGGTGTGTTAAAAGCTGGATTTTATTATCATTGCTTAACAGGACTTTATTTGGGTACTCCAGGTCAGTAGAGGGATCTTATGGGTGGGGATCGACTAGTGCGATATCAGAGTAACGGCGTATTACTTCTAGAAGTGCATACGTGAAGTCGGATAAAAATGAAGAGAGTGAACAATCCCAACGAATATCGATTGTCATAGTCACTTCAGACGATCAGTCGCAATAAAGCTCTTACGTAACTGCGAGTGTGCAGGTTGAAAACCACATTAGTGCTATATGCTTGTCCAACACTTTAATTAACAAACATATTTTACCACGTCGCCCTGACAGATGGTGTGGATTGCTATGCTCAGGTTTGGGCAAATGGCTCATAATCGTAGTTTACGTTTGTCTGTTGAGCTATGAGGTGCAAAGTTTTGTGAGGAATGGTTATACTACTCGGCCACACAAATAAGAGTAGCTGGTGTGGGTTTTAAGCCTGCAACTCCCATGTAATGGGTGATAATTTAAGCCCTGTAGATAGGCCATAATTTTGTTGGCGCATTAATAGCCCATGAAACTCCAATCACACAATTCTTCGTATATTTAATGATATATAATCATGTTTCCTTTTCATTTAATATATACCCATCATATGATTTTACTAAAGGAAAATTCCCACAAACCATTTGTGTTACCTGTTTAATACCAGTTAGTCTTAGATGTACCAGTAGTTCAATCTCTTGATTAGCAGTCAATTGGCAACATTGTATCACCGCATAATTTACCAGTCAACATTCTCTTCATAATTTTAACAAGAAAAACCTGCTCATCATCAAAATTTGAAACTGTAGTTCATGGCGGACGTAGTAGTTGGTAGTCAAGGCTTCTGATCACTAAGCATCACGAGCAAGTGAAATATCATGTATCGATTATTATGCATAGTCGGCAGAATTTGTTGGGTAATAAAATTAAGCATTCAGTTTATTATTCCCTGAGGACACCTTGTTGATTAATTTTCATCTTTGTGTTTTATTTTATGCATACTTAGCTAATTGGATCTAATTTTACCCATTCGTTGTTCTAAATAATCTTCGGTTCATCAAAACGTATCTGATTCAAGTCTTTAATCGAGTACAAATTTCTATTTTGCTTTCTTTATTAAGTAGCGATTGGACTCACTAGACTTTATTTAATTTGTTGAAGCCCATCTAAGACTGTAAAAATATCAACTTATATCATTATTTGGGAAACTGATAGTTTTATCGTCATTATAAAACGGTCATAGAGATGAAAATTAAATTTACAAATTCTCTGTATCAGCGAAATTGATTTGTACACCTGACCCGTCCTCTGTATATTTGACTAGAATTCACTCCTTACATATTTATTATCACTTTGGTTTGTTATTTCAATTAATTGACTTTCAGAAAATAGGATTGGTGGTTTGAATTTGCTTTCATTTATAGGGGTTTAAAAATCAGACATTGTCATCAGCCCTCATACAACTGATGTTTGATTCATATATTTTTTGCACAAACCCGTACACAGTAGTTGAGTTGGATTTTTATTATTTCATCATCGCAGTTCAGATTATCAGTTGACTCCTAGTTAGACATGTGAAGTTGTTGCTCGTATGCTATAATTTCAATTTTATTTGAATAATCTGTTCCATAATTTCTATGTTACTAGTTTCCTACTAAATAGTATTTTCACCTTGACAGGTTATACCAAATACTGATAGACAAACGCTACATGCCAGTTTCACACCAGATAGTCAGTTTGTTTTAATTGGTTCGCCAGACGGAGTTGTACATATTTGGTCTGTTGAAACTGGAGTACGTGTGGCAAGCCTACCAGGTTATGAAGCTGCTACCCAGTTACCAAACGCTGCTATTCATAGTCTCGCTTTTAATCCCCGGTTCGCAATGCTAGCTACAGGATCTAACCAAACGTCGTTCTGGCTTCCTGCTCTTGAAGAGTAAAAATGAGTTATCTGTGATGTCATAACTTTCTTATTCTTCTTCACTTTTGTAAATATGTTACTCTTAACTAGCAAACTTCAAATTGCTAACCATTGTTACGTTTTTGAAAAAATACATTTTCAATTTATGTGATATTATTAGTGATGCTAAACCATCAAATAATATGAAATAAAATTACATAACAAAATGCAATCAGCTCACAGTATGCCTGAAGTATTTCGCACTGGTGACTAATGAAAGCAAGTATAATAAATCAAGTTAGTAATGTTATTGGACATATATGATAAGTAAGCTTGCGGGAGGAAAATAATTAATTCGTATTTGTAATCTTAAACGTTGCTAGGTGGAGTTAATCGCTTTCGTAGGCAAATTTGACTCGAATATGTAAGTATCCCATATAACTTCGCATAAATATACGATTAGAAAACATTTACGCCACGATGATTGTCAACGGTGCCAAAATATAAGGCGTTAGGGGAAATAGTATTTAAGGGACACTGCACTAGTAGACTAAATGTATAAAATCCAGGAAGTCAGTAATAATGTATTTGTATATGTGTCCTGGATAGATATATTCTACAGGCTTAATGTAATAAGATAGTAGGTCAAACATATATGTATATCAAAGTGTATGTGAGTCAGTTTATAACTAATCATATTAAGAAAAATAATAACCCGTAGGATAGAAATAACGCATTTAGTCGTTACATGGTTGTCTGGTTTGGTACGTTCAGACTACATGGTTTTGGTTGCGCGATCGTGACCGACGACTCGAGACTTTGGGTGACATGGTTGAGAATCGGTAGCACATGCATTAACTTTTTGTTTCCCTTTAGCCCCTAAGTTTCGATGTTCATATACATTTTCTCACGAACCTATTCTTTCTCGAATCGTATTGTTTATGCATAATTTTATCTACCGCTATTGATTCTACTAACATCGGGTTTTGTCTAGATAAATCCATATCGCTAAAGTGATATGGGTTTAGCGAATTGAATCGATGAGTTTGTGTATCACGCTCCATGTTGCGTATGACTGGGTGACGCCAGTTCATGCAAAGATAAGGTTATTTAAACCTTTCATGTAAATTCATTACCATTTATTTGCATCCCGAAGTATACAGATGGTCAAGGTGAGTGTGAGTGACCTACTACAACAGAATATAACAAACCTCGAGCTTAATTCACAATTTTCGTCTTTGCACCATGGTAATCAAGTATTGGTAACCAAATTATCCATTGTGATATTTAGTGAGTGAAGACCACATATAGTGTCTCCAGACAGACCTCACCTGTTCTTTTTACGTTATGAGTTATAAATCCTGTATTACCTACAAAGCAGTTAGTTCGCTCAACAGTTTTTGAAATCTTAGGTTAGAGGTTTTCAATGGCTAGATTATGTTGGGGAATAATGGTCAAGACTAAATGAGGAATCTTTTGACAGGGCGCAATTATATGTTGATCAGATCCTCACTTTTCGCTAAATCAGGAAACAGAATTACTTGCTCCCGATATTATTCACATCACCTCTATTTAATGGTAGTGTTCAATCCCATTACGTGAGAGTAGTTTTGTGAATGTTTTATTTGGGGTTATCGAATTAAGGTACCACTTCAATTCATCACTCAGTCCTTTAAAGGCAAGTGATAGATTTTTACTTGATTAGGCAACAAGATCAGGATTAACGGCTATTTCTTCCGTTTTAAATTGGAAGTAGGTGTACTGATGTTAGCAACCTGACATCCAAATTCTCGTGTCTGGTAACTAGTTCACGCCTAGAGTGACAATGTTTCCTTATTAGTGTCCACGAGAGACAATCAACTTCTGGAGTCTGAGCAATAAGGTTCAAAATGAATTTAGTACATCGGTTTAGGTATTATCTGTGATCTGAGTATTCCGGTATGAGTTGGGCTGTGAATAAATTTACATTGAAGTTCATTACCACTTCTTTCACACCTGGCCTGCGAAATATCTTAATCGTACTAAATGATTTTCAAAGCCACATGAAACGATGTAAAAAATCACCACATGCTTTTTATTTAAATGGTTGGTAGTGGTGGCGAATATATATATTATTCAGTACATAGCTGTCGTTAATACATTTAAGGCTTCAATTTTTCCATTTGCAGATTGTCTTAAGTTCGCGCTTGTGTTAATGAATATCGATTGTTCCCATCGTAATTCCTAAGTGCATTTTGTGCGCTTAACGAGCTGCTGGCTCAGGTTATTTATCATTGTTCTCTCTAAGTTTCACTCTGCATACAGTGGTCGTTCACGCCAGACATATCTATTAATGGCTGAATGTTGCGTACAATTTCGTGTTGAGGAAGAATCACTCTGGTGCTTGTGTGTACTTAAATCTACTTGGGGCTAAGAACAATCTGTGTGTTACGTAAAACAGAGTAACTACTGCGTATTGAACGTCGATTTGAGCAAGTCGGTGAGCAGGCCTGACCCACCAGCAAACGGACCGTTGCTGCTACCTAGACGTGGTGCTAGGGCTTGCCTATCGTGATGAACTGATAGTTCCTCAAGATCCTACCATGTTAGGCAGGTCGGTTGCAGAGCGGTAAGACTAAAAGTGGCAAACCCAGGGGCGAAGTTGCACTGCTGATTGTACAGAGGTGTGGTGGCAACAGTGTTTCCCTCAGACAACCGGCATGACAGCGATGCTGCCTTCCTACAAAAGAGAAGTGGGGTTAGGGGTTTGACCCTAATAATACATACCTCGCCTTGCCCCACTAATGTCCGTCTCCGGCTGTGAGGTCTCAACAAGTACGGAGCTAACACAAGAAGGTCGTGTGTGACCGGCCTCGAGCAGTTGTCCTTTGGGCACTGCGGTCATTAAGACAAACTCTAACCCAAGTTCCTTTACAGGTACCTATAGAAGAACCCTTCCACGGTGTGGGCAACTGGGAAGTGGAAACCGCCCTCATACCTCTAATAGCACTCAAGACCACTATATTCATAATCAGTTTCCCTCTTTAATTCCTATTATTCCTCTTACCACGACTATCAACTTGAAACTTCCTCCCCAAGTGTCGCCATTGTCAACGACTCTAGTGCTCGAAACACTGTCCCGGGTCTACTGAAACCCGCTGTAATCGAGTCACTGGAGGGGTGGTGGTTATTCCATGTAAGCATCTAAAACTATGAAAGCAGGGATCTATAGCGATGCTGTCCTCATCAAATTACCTGGTTAGATATGGCTTACCGCACACGCTCAAAAATGTGAAAGTTAATAAGTATGTATATCGAGCTCGGAACATTAATAGTACATCTGGTACCACAATATGCGAGTCACTTGTTAAGACTGGCTCACTAGATCCCGACTAAGAAATTGTCTGTGGTGGCTTCGGGCCCCCGAGTGTCGACTGGGAAACTATCTGACGCACTGTACTTTGAAAGCATACTTAGTTCCCTAGACACACGGTTGACAGCAGCGTGTACACCTGCCTACATGGAACCATAAACATTCTTGACTTACAATTCCACACTAGCACCTGTGGTCGTTGGAGAAAAGCTTAACTACAGCGATAACAAAAGTCATTTGCGCTCCACCATTTCTTAAAAAGTACAACATATCCAAGACAATAAATGCGCGATTTCAATGTAAAAATTGTGCGCACGCTGACTGAGAAAACTTCTGATTGCTGATAAATCACTCTGACTGGAGGAGTTTCTTTACAAGTATAAAGACCGAAACGCCAATATTTGGTTTGAACGTAGAGCTAATGAACAAAAATTTATTTGATTAACACAGACTACGTCCTTCTGTATATTTATTTATTTGAACACATAAATATTGAAATTAAAACATGAAGTTCAGCGAAGGGATCTCTTTTCAACGAATTTATTATCAAGCTGTACAATCGCATATATATGAAAATTTTTGTTTTTGTAAAAGTACTAATTCCGTGAGGAAATGTGAACACAGTTAATAAAAAGGTTATAATACTAGATTACGTAATATGAATAATAACAATAGATTTAGTGAATATAATAAATATTGGTACAAGAGGGCATCAAATATATATGCGCCACACAAAACAATGACAATTTGAAGAGAAGGAAAAAAAGATGAGGAGCGTAGAAAAAAAAGCAGTAACGAACAGATTAGTGTAAGGTGGCGTAATAATAATAATGATGAAAGAAACGAAAAGGTACAATCAGAAGAAATCTTTCAGTTAAGGAAGAAGAAACCACTTTTTATGAACAAAGTAAAAGAAGGTTACAGCAGGATCGCCACTGGCTTCTATTCCGAGCCATATCTGATAACGTCTCTAGCCACTGTGTCGCACCATTTCTCGGACCCCAGCCAGGGAGTCGTGAAGGGCCAACATAAGCCAGCCTTATGCAGCTTTCTTTCATACTCCGACACCATGTCATACACTGACCACCTCTCCGCTTTTCCAACCAGTCCCAGCGTCGGCAAATAATGCACGATGTGGAATTCTCTGGGACGACATTCGTAGAACATGTCCAAGTCTCCGAAGTCGGTGTTTCAAGATGGTGACACCAATTGGGTTATCGTCGCTGTGCCCGAACACACGATGCCGAACCTCTGCATTACTGACATGGTGTTGCCACTGAATGTCAGCAATCCTTCGGAGACAGCGATGATCAAACACAGAGAGTCGTCTAACATCCTCAACTAGGAGAGGCCAGGTTTCACAACCATAGAGCAGAACTGATCTCACCGACGCGTTGTAGATCCGACCTTTTACAGCCAGACTGACATCACGAAGGCGTCAAAGATGGCCCAGATTGGCATAAGCCGCTCTGGCTTTCACTATACGTGCATTGATCTCATCACTCACACCCCCACCAGCACTTATGCAGCTACCCAGATACACGAACTTCTCGACTACTTCTATGTGCTCATCATCCAGGGTGAGTACAGGATTAGAATCTTGTCAGTCTTGTAGAAGTACTTTGCACTTCGAAGGTGCAAAGCACATACCATACCTACGGACACTGATTTCCAACTGATTAAGTGCGGATTGCATGGCTTGAGCATTATCCCACAGTAAGGCAATATCATCCGCATACTCAAAGTCGAGAAGTCTTTCTCCAGGCAACAGATCCACAACACCATTACTTACATTCATCAAAGCTGTTTCCAGAATGTCATCGACGGCAAAGTTGAAGAGGAATGATGAGATTGGGCAACCCTGCCTAACCCCACTGCTCGAATGG